TGGGGAAAAGATGATCTCCCCAATGAATGGTGCTGGGTTCTGGACAGCTGCAGGCAGAAAAATGAAACCGGACCACTTTCTTACACCACACACAGAAATAAACTCCAAATGGATTAAAGACCTAACTGTGAGACCTGAAACCATAAAACTCCTAAAACATAGGCAGTAATCTCGTAGAAATCAGCTTTAGGAACGTATTTGTGGATGCATCTCCTCAGGCAAGGGAAACAGAAGCAAAAATAAACTCTTGGGACTACACTAAAATGAAAAGCTTCTGCACAGCAAAGGAAACCAACCAACAAGACAAAAAGGCAACCTACAGAACAGGAGAAGATACTTGGCAAATGACATATCTGATGAGGGGTTAATATCCAAAATATATAAAGAATTATATACACAGTTCTGAAAAAAACCAAACAATTTCATTAATGGGCAGAAGACCTGAGGAGACATTTTCCCAAAGATACAGGTGGTCAAAAGATACTTGAAAAGGGGACACCTGGGTGGCTTAGTCGGTTAAGCGTCTGCCTTTGGCTTGGGTCGTGATCCCAGGGTCCTGGGATTGAGACCCACCTTGGCGGCGGTCCCTGCTCAGCGGGGAGCCCGCTTCTCCCTCTCCCTCTGCTGCTCCCCCTGCTGGTGCGCTCTCTCTCTCTCTCTCTCTCTCTCTCTCTCTCTCTCTCTCTGACAAATCTTTAAAAGAAAATACATGAAGGGGCGCCTGGGTGGCTCAGTCGTTAAGTGCCTTTGGCTCGGGTCATGATCCCGGGGTCCTGGGATCAAGCCCCGCATTGGGCTCCCTGCTCCGTGGGAAGCCTGCTTCTCCCTCTCCCACTCCCCCTGCTTGTGTTCCCTCTCTCGCTGTGTCTCTGTCAAATAAATAAAATCTTTAAAATAAATAAAGCCAGCAGGCACCATCTCTTTAAAAAATATAAAAAATAGGGGCGCCTGGGTGGCTCAGTCGTTAAGCGTCTGCCTTTGGCTCAGGTCATGATCCCGGGGTCCTGGGATCGAGCCCTGCATCGGGCTCCCTGCTCCGCGGGAAGCCTGCTTCTCCCTCTCCCGCTCCCCCTGCTTGTGTTCCCTCTCTCGCTGTGTCTCTCTGTCAAATAAATAAAGAAAATCTTAAACAAAATAAAAATAAAAGAAAATACATGAAAAGATGCACAACCTCACCAATCATCAGGGAAATTCAAATTAAGACCTCAATGAGAGATCACTTCATCCTGTTCAGAATGGCTAGAATCAAAAAGATGAGATAACAAGTGTTGGAGAGGATGTGGAGAAGAGGGAACCCTCGTGCACCATTGGTGGGAGTGTAAATTGGTGCAACCACTATGGAATATGGTACAGAAGTTCCTGAAAAAATAAAAAATGGAAATGCGATATGATTCAGTAATTCCACTGCTGGTTATTTTACCAAAGAAAACGAAAACACTAATTTGAAAAGATGTGCCCCTCTGTTTATTGTAGCATTATTTACAATAGCCAGGATATGGAAGCAGCTCAACTGTCCATCCATGAATGGATAAAGATGTGATATAGGGGTGCCTGGGTGGCTCAGTCGTTAAGCGTCTGCCTTCGGCTCAGGTCATGGTCCCAGGGTCCTGGGATCAAGCCCTGCATCGGACTCCCAGCTCGGTGGGAAGCCTGCGTCTCCCTCTCCCACTCCCCCTGCTTGTGTTCCCTCTCTCGCTGTGTCTCTGTCAAATAAATAAAATCTTAAAAAAAAAAAAAAAGATGTGATACACACGCACACGCACGTGATGGAATATTACTCAGGCACCAAAAAGGAATGAGAGCTTGCCATTTGCCACAGCATGGATGGACCTAGAAGGTATTATGCTAAGTGAAATAAGTCAGAGAAAAAGCAAATGATTTCACTTGTATGTACAGTCTAAAAAAACAAACAGAAACAGACTCCTAAGTACAGAGAACAAACCAGTGGAGGTTAAGAAGTACAAATACAAAATACTCAAGCTTTTAGGAAAAATACAGGAAATATACCACAATTTAATAGTAATTGCAGGTAGGATTAAGATGATTTTTAGTTGTTTTCTAATTTTTAAATAATGATTATGTACAAAAATAGATTTTCATTGCTTCTCATTCCAAATGAATTCAAAACTTACTACCAAATATATACAAATACCTGAAATAATATATGTAAAATGAGGAATTTGAAAACTAATTCTTTCCCTCGGGGTCGTTGTTAAATTGCCAAGTTTCTCATTGAAGGACACTGGTGAAACCAGCATTTAGGGATTTCCATGCAATTTCTTTTTCTGTTTTTAGTGTTTGCTTAAGTTCAAGTAGAAACTATATTAGTACTGTTTTTTAACATTTTCTTTAATATATGTGTTAACACCATTTGCCTTGACATGCAGCATGATGGATTTCCTTTTGCTAGAATAGGTTTGCGTATGATACTTGCTGACCTTCTGTTTTACAAATAACCACTTTATCATTTTCTCTGTTGTGCTACTTTTTCCTCTTGAGCAGTAACTTAACCAGTTTCTTAGGCTGTAGGTAAAACATATTTTATCATTGCCCAGATCCAGTGTTTGTCATCATATGAAGTTAAGGTTTTCTAAATCATGCCCTTTTTCTTTGAAATTCTGTGTAATATTTACCAGTAAAAAATACACCTATGTATTTTTTAAGGCCTTACCTTTTGGGATTTTTTTGCAGGTTTTCAACAGCTGTCCAATATCCTCCAAATCAAGAAAAGAGAAGATCTGAGGACTATGTTGTCAGGCATGCCAACTAACATCAAATTTTCCTTGACAGAAATTCAGAGAATAATCCAATACTTCTTTCCCAAACACTTTCCACATCTGACCTAAATATCAGCGAGAGAGACAAGACAGACCAGGTTATGACAGGCCAACTCAATCCCACCCACTCTCAAAAGAAGTCACTTGATTTTAAAAGTTCCTGGGCTTCTTCACAAAGGGAATAAAGCCATATTCCCACTGAAAAGATGGTCACATTAAGGAATTCCAACTTTGCTTCGTTGGAATTGATAGACTCTCACCTTAATGACATTCTTCACGTTTAGCCCAACAGCAGCTCTTTGAAGGCAGTTTTATCACTCTGGGACGTGTACTCATTCATTCATCACATCTGCACTGAACGCCTGTGTGGGAAGGTGGCACTTTTGTAGGTGTCCAGCCTGCAGCAGTGAGCAAAGTAGACTGCCCCTGACTTTTCAGGGCTCACACCCTTCCTTAAACACACAAGGCGCAGAAACCCCAAAAAGGTAGGGTCTTTCTCAAGTCTTCCAGGTCATAAATGGCAGAACCGGACCCCCTAGATCGATCAGGAACCCTTCACCTGAGATCCATGTTGAGTGGTCCTGTGACGCTGCTGCTGCTCTGGCCATCCACGGGCTCCCTAGCTTAGTCTCACCATGTTAGTGATAAGCAGGCCATACAGTTTTTTATTCTGTGGACTGGTCTATAGTCTCTGTTAAGCTTTTGTCAGATCCTCAAAGGAACAACTTTTTTAAAAATTTAAGTCTCCTCCATTAGGCTCTCCGTAATCCAGGACTAATCTGTTTTCACAGTCATCTTGCCATAAACATAACATGGAGAGATTCATCATTCTAGGCAAAAACTGTCACCTAAAGTAACAGACACTTGATATGTATTCTGTCTCCTCTGCTAGGGAGCCCTGTGACCCCTGTCACCTGCTTTCCTGTGAACAGAATCCCTGGCAGCCTGCCCCCGTCTGATCAGGGCTGCCCCCAGGCACAGCCAGTCTGCTCCGGGCCTGTGCAGGGTTGGCTGTCCCTGGTCAGTGCAGAGAGGCGACAGGGCAGACCCGCTCTGTCCTGTATGTGGCCAAGGAGGCCCAAGGGGAGTCAGACCCCAGGCTCCTGACTGCAGTGGTAGAACCGCGGGACCGGCTCACCCTTGAAGCCCACCCCCTGTGGACTCCTGTTGGGTGAAGGGGTATTCCTTGTTGTTGAAGCTGTTTAGTGACTGTGTCTGTTACTTGCTGTCAAATCTGATCCTGATGGACAGGTTTGGTTTTGTGTGAATGTGAGAAAGCTTTCACCTCAAGGAAACCCATTGCTTGCCCAGCAATAAGTGTGAAACCCCACCCCCAGCAGCTGCTGGGGGGCTTGTTAGAAATGCACATTCCCAAGTGCTGCCTAAGAACTTGTGGTAATTTAGGGCCCAGCTCTCATCTTCCAGGTGGTTCTGAGGCCTCAAGAGATCCTCTTCACCCCACCGTGTTTCCTGTAAGAACCAGAGGCCACGCAGTGCACAGCCATGACCTCCTTTTATAAATAGCTGCAAAGAAACAACCCGAAGGCTTGAGGTTGTAATGTAGAACCAACTGATAGGTTGTAATGTGGTAAAGCTATGGTTCCTCTTGAAACTTTGCTAGTTAAACAAGAAATATTTAGGGGTGCCTGAGTCATTGAGTCGGTTAAGTGTCTGACTCCTGATCTCAGTTCAAGTCATGATCTCAGGGTCCTAGGGATCGAGCCCCAATTCGGGCTCTGTTCTCAGCGCAGTCTGCTTATCGTTTTTCCTCTGCCTCTCCTTCCACTCATTCGTGTGTGCGCGCGCTCGCTCTCAAATAAATAAAAATCTTGAAAAAAAACCCCACAAATATTTAGAAAAATATGAAGTCCTCCAAGTCTTCCTGGCAGGCGAGAATTCTACCACTGAACCACCAATGCCCCACTCTTCCTGGAACCTAAGCATTTCCATTTAATACACATTTCAGTAACCCTCTTTTGCTTCTTCTAAGAGGTGAATTACAGGTTCTACCCTCTAGGAATAAGGGACAGGGCCGCATCTTCTCCCTTTCACACCACAAACACCCTCACCTGCCCAGGGCAGCCCTACACCCTATACCCCTACTTCATTTCCTTCAATGAAGATACACTTTTCTGGGTGTGTATGTCATGCCGGGGACAGATGCTGCATGCTCTGGTTACGAAGCACAAGAGTTTTGCTGATACTGAGCTCTCTGTTTGCCAGGGAAATCCACATAAGTGGACGAAGAGACAATTATAATAGTTCCTGGCCTAAGGACCAAAATAAGGTGTGGACAGGAAATATGGATTGTTGTTTTTTTTTAATCATCTTCTCCACAAGTACACTGATCTATTTGGAAGGAATAAATTTTGGGATCCCTTGCCCCTGGCAACAGGAAGTCAGAGCTCAACCCCATGACCCTGGTTCAGGAATGATGCAGAGGTGAGGCACAATCTGGGGCCACCCAAGGCAGCAGCGTGAAGTGGTGGTGGTGGTGGTGATGATAACGGCACCCAGTGGGAGGGCAGTGGTGCTTCCCCAGGGGCCCAGTGTGGCTTCCTGCGTCCCACCCTGTCCGTTGGTTCTGAGCCTCATCTTGTTCATTCTCTGGGCTACTTGAAATCCTTCCAGTGATTTCCCTTTTCTGCTTAACTCAGCTAGGATTGATTTCTGTTGCTTAAAACCAAGAACTCCAAGGGAAAATGGATAAACGGAGGAAGTTACAGGTGACACTAACACAAGGAAATCTGGGGAAAGAAGTTACACTGGCGTGAGGAGAAATACCGTTAATATCCAGGAATAAGAATCTGGCAGCACAGCCCTGTGGTGGAAAATGGCTAATCACCTGTGGTCACCTGGAATCAACTATCCATTGTGGGGCAGGTTTGCGGAAATCATATTGCCACCACCATGGAACAGTGTAAAAGGCAAAAAGAGTGCAAGATAGTGGGTATAGGATGGCGATTTCTAACAGCACTGAATTGGACTGTAAACAGCAAACAAGACATCTAAATGCTTAAAACATAAGACCTGGGAGTTGCTATGCAAGTGGTAAAATAAACTGTCATATAGTCACAGGGTTGAAATAGCCACAAAATGTGAAAGTTGGTTCAATAATGTGGAAAGAATGGCCTCTATACCAGAATGGAGGTATTTAGGAGCTTTTGAAAGACTCGGAGCACACTGGGCTCACCAACACTCACACCCCACCGATGCTCCCATGCCCTTCTTTCCTTCCTTCCTTCCTTCCCCAAGGAAGCAGATTTTCTTATGCTCCCCCCACCCCACCACTGCTTTCAGACGTGAATTAGCCAATAACAAAGTCGATGTAGGAAAGACAGCTTACACACGAAAAGAACCCAGTCCTTTACTAATTCGTGTCGGCAAAAATGAGGGGAACAAATGGAGGAATGGATTCTGAGTGTAGGAGTCTACAGAATAAAATAATACTGAGTTGGGCTGAATTTATGGATACTGTGTTGGTTTAAACAAAGGACAGATTCCACTTGGTGCAACTGGTTACTAGGAGCCTAAACTCAGTGGCCAAATGAGGTTGAGATGCCAAAAATTCCTATCGCGAAGTGGGCTCTGGAGTCGGCTGGAAAATGGCCCCAAGAGGTGGCCACATCCTAGTCTCTGGAACCTGTGAAGGTTACCCTATATGGGGAGGAAAATGGTTTTTGTAGACATGATTAAATTCAGGATCTGAGATGGGGAGACTCTCCTGGGCTGTGTAGGTGAGGGAGGCAGGGAAGGGTTTTACACCTAGGTAGTCAGAAGAGCAGGTGAGGTGCAGATACTGTGACAAGCCAAGGAAACCTGCAGCCCCCACAAGCTGGAGGAGGCCAGGAACAGATTGTCCCTTGGAGTCTCCAGCAGGAGCAAGCCCTGCAGACACTGACTGTGGGCTCCGACCTCCAGAACTGTAACAATAGATTTCTGTGTTTTTAAGCCACTAAGCTTGTGGTCACTTGTCACAGCAGCCATAGGAACCTAGTACAGGCACCCTGGCTTAAATGGGAAAGGAAGAGCCAGTTTAGTGGCAAAGCCGGGAAGCTGACCAGAGCAGGCAGAAGGGCCAGTGAGGCAATCAGAATGGCCCTCCCCCAGATAACTCGGGGGGTGACTGATCACCAAGTGCCTGGGGCTGAAAAGGATAAACTGCCCACTAGATCTTTGCTTGGTTTGCATAGTTAAACCCTATGTCAGATCTAGTGAATACAGGCCCGACTTGAGCAACCCTCAACCCTCAGAGAGACATGGCCCTTCAACCAATTTCTAGACTAGAAGTTTCACAGACCAGAGATCCTCCGCTATCCAGAAGGGTAGCTACACTCGAAGAACCTTGTGAGAACTTAACGAGTTTGTTCTGTGACTTTACTATAGGCATTTACGGCAGATTGGCAAAGACCTACCAGCTTGACACTATTGGCAAGGCTGTGCCTTTGTTGGGGTACAGGACCCGCAGAACCCCAGCTCCCTGATGCCTTGTGAGCAACTATGGCATGAGGGACCAGCATGGGTGTCACCAGTGGGGGTTGTTTAGGGATGGCACTGCTGTGGACCTGAGTCATCCAAGAGGACCTGTGCTTTGGGACCCATCCAATCTTTCCTTGGTGCTCCTTTCTGTGTCCAACACACACATGCTGCCTCCACCACCACCTCTGTGCCCTTGTTTCCTACCGACGTGGCTGTCCCCTTAGCTATCAAGACACCCCTTCCTTGCATCCTCACTTGTTGGAGAGTATAGCATCTCAAGCCCCAGGCAGACTTTCTGACCCCACAAGGCTCCCAGGCTCCACCTGCACCTGAGGGTGTGAGCCAGCTGCTGCGGACCAGTCTTCCGTGTGCCCTGAGTGCCGGGCCTCCCTGAGAAACTCACTCTTCATTTTAGAATCCACTCCCATCTGCCTTTGAACACCGCAGAAGCTGGCTGCTTTATTCATTTCCTATTCCAGAGCCTAAAGCTGTTTCTGACACATAGCAGACACGTTTAAATGAGTGAACAAATTAATGCACCCTTCATGGGTTCCACTCTGGGACATTCCCCAGATAGAATAAGAAGAGTGTCTGACCACGTGGCCCCCAGACAGGAGGCCCCATGGCTGCACCACAGCTCTGCGGGGGCTGCTGCAAACCCCTGGGCTCCCTCACATGCACCAGCCGGGCCTCTAGTGCCAAGAGGGAGGAAGGAGCAGCTGCGGTTGCCTGAGACAACTTGACACTGCCGCATGCACCCCCTTGAGTGTCGTCCCCCCCACTCCCCTGCCCACTGCTGCTTGTTCAGCAGGGAATCTGTGTGCTTGTTCCTCACCTCTCTTGGGAGGACTGTTTCTTGTTCCAGGCGCAGAGAAACCATCCATGACTTCCAGATAACCTGTCCAAAGAAGCAGACACACACATTCTGGCATCAGTGTTCCCCACCACGGGGGCCAGGCAGCGGGAATGTGCTATAGCAGCCTGAAATGACTAAAACATAAAAACAAAAGGTACCATAATCCTCTGTGGCTTAAAAACAACAGCATGTTCACAAGTGTTGAAGCTGGTGAGGATCCAGTTCACAGCTCTCTCGACTTACGTAAATGTTTAAAATTTTCAGTAGTAAAGTGTTAAAAAGAAAATTCACCTTGGATGGGGATTTTTTTCCGGTTGGTTCGTATGTTGACGGGCGAAGTGAATGAATACTTTGTACTGATAGAATGAGATGATCTGGACAGTCCTATTCCAGTTTTCGTTTTTATTGGTCTCATTGCTGAGACCACGTTGATGTAATTAGGGACCAGAGGGGTCTTGTCATAGGAATGCCACCTAATTCTTTAAATTTCTTTCGCGTTATATGCCAAATGTTCAAGTTATCTGTAATCAGAAATTACTTGTAAGGATTTTACCATCTGATAACTTTCAATCTTACTGAAAAAACAAAGACCCAACTTTTAAAAGGGTTTGTTATTCAGTTGGAGTCATTCATCTTGTTTCTGGGAAGCAGACCTAAAAGGCCCTCAACTCATTGCCAAGAAGAGGTAAGCCATAAAATTTTAATCTTTTACTATTACTTTTCCTGCCAGTCGTCAAAATTCTCATTGGCATGATTCAATCAGAGCATAAGGTAACAATGGCATTCAATATTTATGAAGTATGTTCAGTGTGCCAGGAATTTGACTAGTGCTCTGAGCACTTTATGCTGTCTTATTCCATAATAACCTTATGAGGTAGGTCCTACAAGTCTGCCCCATTTTGCACATGAGGATAATAGCTTGCTCAAGTTCACCTTCAGGCATGCACACACATGCACACACTAAGCAAGGGAGGCAGGTGCTAATGTAGGTTTGTCTGACTTCACAGCCCAGGCTCTCAACCCCTGTGCTCATGATCCCCAGCAAGCGAGTAAGTGCGTGCTCATCAAGGATGAAAGCTATACAGTCCAAGAAGGTAGGTCCTTAGCTTTGCCAGTGCCTTACTGCACTTTTGGTGATGGCCAAGTGGTGGAAGTCCTTGCATGGAGAGGGAGCCTGGCTTCTAGCCTCATACAGAATGTAGGGTAGGAGAGAGGTCATGGGCTCCTCCTGCAGTTCTGTAACTGCAAACAGTACCCAAGGCCCAGCTGGTTTCTGTGCTCGCTGCTCCTGCTTTTTTTCACCAGGAAGAGCAGGTGACCTTACTTGGGCACCCTGTTTCAAGCAGGAGCAAACAAGGCTTTTTGGAAGAGGTTGGCTTGGCATGGTCACAGTACATGCATAAAGGAACTCAGCTGGCCTGCATCAGGTTCCTGGTAGCCTTTCACTTGCATGTGTGTAGAAAGGCCATTCACTCATGTATTCAGCTAGTATGTATTGAGTGCCTGTAATGTGGTGACCCTTTCAATTCCCACCTGCCTCAGCCTGCTGGCTGTGAACCTCCGATGGTCAGCAGAGCCAGCTGTGTCTGGCAGAAGAGAAGAGCCCCCTTCCCAGCAGCAAGGCCTTCTGGGGGCCTGGGCTCCCTCCCCCTCCTTTTTCTTCCTATAAGGGGGCTCATGAATGGTCCTCAGGCCACGGTTCATCATCCCATTCTTTCTTGCTAAGGTGGAAAGTCTCCATCTCATCCACTAGATGAGACATTGTGCTATTTGTTTTCTATGTCCTATAGCTTATAGAGCACGTGGAATGTCTATATTTTTTCCTCATTCCTGTATTTGTCTCTTGCTTATAGTTGATTTTTTTAAGTGAAATGTTTGAATTCCTTCTTAATTTCCTTTTGCATGTAATCTATGGCAGTTTTCTTTGTGGTTACCATGGGAATCAACATCGTAAAGTTAGAACACTCTAATTTGAATTTGTAGCAGTGCAACTTCTGTAACAGAAAAACTGCTCCTTTACAACTCCGTCCCCTCCCCCTTTAGGTTGTTGATGCCACAAAATTACATCTTTATACCTTGTATGTCCCAAAACATACTTTTTAAAAATGCATTAGTCTCCTAAGTAATGTAGAAAACAAGATTTGGAGTTACAAAGCCAAGTTACAGTAATACTGGTTTTACAGTAATATTTTTTTCTTTATATGTCATAGTCTCTTAAATCACTTAGCTAAGAAAAAAGTAGTTACAAACCATTGTTACAATAATACTAGCTTTTATAATTGCCCATATATTTACCTTTTGAAGATACTCATTTCTCCATACGGCATTGAGGTAGTGTCTAGTGTCCGTTCATTTTTCCCTGCAGGACTCCGTTGAGCACTTACTGTGGGGCACATCTAGTGGTCACGAACTCACTCAGCTTCTGTTTATTCTGGGAACGTCTTGATTTCTCTCTCACTTTTGAAGGACAGTTTTGCCAGATACGGGATTCTTGGTTAATGGTTTGTTTTTTTTTCTTTTAGCACTCTTAATGCATTAACCCAGTATCTTCTGCCTACAAATTTTGATAAGAAATCTGTACGTATTCTCATGGAGGATACCTTTTATGTGATGATTTTCCTCTCTGTTGCTGCTTTCAAGATTCATTCTTTGTCTTTGTCTTTTAAATGTTTGATTATAATGGGTCTCAGGGTGGGTCTCTTGAGTTCATACTACTTGGAGTTTGTTGAACTTCTTGGATGTTTATACTCATGTCTTTCCTCAAGTTTGGAAAGTTTTCAGCCTTTTATTTCTTCAGATATTCGCTCTGCCCCTTTTTCTCTTTCTTCGGGCTCCTTCCGGGATGCCTACAATGTATATGTTGGTCTACTTGATTGTGTCTCACAGGTCCCTTTAGGTTCTGCTCGCTTTTCTTCAATCTTTTTTCTTTCTGTTCCTCAACCTGGATAATTGCCACTGTCCTATCTTCAAGTTCAGGAAATCTTCTGTCTGCTCAAATCTGCCTTTGAATCCCCCTAGTGAATTTTTCATTTCAGTTGTGGTATTTTCAGCTCTAGAATTTCTTTTTAGGTTTTCAGTCATCTTGTTGGTATTTCCATTTTGTCCATACACCCTTTTCTTGACTTTCTCCACCTTTAGGACCATTGTTCTAGAATGTTTGTCTAATAGATCTGCCATTAAATCTTTCTCACAGACAGACTCTGCTGAAATTTTTTCCTCTGAATGGGTCATACTTTCCTGTTTGTGTATCTTGTGATATTTTGTGAAACACTGGACATTTGAATCTAAAATGTGCAACTGTGGAAATCGGATTCTCCCTCTTCCCCAGGGTTTGCTATTTTTTGTTGTTCTTATTATTGTAGGTTCTGTGTAGAGATCATCCTGAGGTATAAACAATGTCTTCTTATGTCTCTTCTAGAGCCTTTCCTTGGGCATTCATGGCCACTTTCTCATTTTCCTTGTACATGCAGCTGTTTTTTTCATGTCCTAGTCTTTAATGTCTGGCTCCCAAAAGGGGAAAAGCAAAAGTGAGGTTGGGGGAGGGGTGGGGAGGGGGTGGGGGCGGTGGTGAGTCCTGGCCCTTTAAATCTCTTCAAAGTCACTTCAGCTGGAGGGTGAAGCGATTGCAGCAGCGGAGGAGATGCAGCCAGATGACTGCCTGCCTCTTTGCCTGCACCTCTGCGATCAAAACTAGCAATCAGCAGTCAAAGCACAGATACCCAATATTGGGAAGACAGGGTCCTTTTTACCCATCCTAGCTTCTGTAAGTTGTGTGCAAGATGCTCCCATGGTGGGGGTGGGGATGGGTAGCTGCCACTGTGAAGAGCTAAAATGTACTGTCCGAGCTTTCCCCGGCAAGCTGCAAGCCTTCAGCAGACTTGAGTTCCAAAGAGTTACATCAGACAGGTTCTGCCAGTGCAATTGTGGCCTCCCTGGGGGACAGATTCCTGGTGCTTCCTGCTCCACCATCTTCCCAGAATCCTCACTGCCTGACTGCCTTGGATTTACCAGTGGCTTTCAGCCGATCTCTTCCACTGTAATAGCTCTCACCCCACAGGTCAGGGAACCCATGCGGGGATACTGACAGTTCCGGAGAGTAGCTACTGTAATTAGATACTTCCCGAGCTGGGGCAATAGCCACGGGATGGCTTGGGGGCCCACAGAACCAGCTGTGAGACAGACCTAACACCCCAGGCACCTGACCTGCGTGAACCCTGCTTGGACTGGAGGGGCCACAGTGACGCCTGGGATCTCCTGGGATCAGCGTCCATGCAGTCCATGTTCAGGTAGTCCTGACGGCCTGTTTCCTCTCCAGCTGCGCTGCTCCAAGGCCATCAGTCCCTCGGGTGAAGGTTGGGAGAAAGGCTAACTCTAAATTTTTTGGCAGTGTACTTGGGTTCTCACTCAAGGGGACCATGCCTCCCCTGCATCCAAGGAGTTCTGGGTTTGTAAACTGGCTCAAGTCTGGGAACTGATTGAGGGGCCAGGGTTCTCTGTTTTTGATTCAAATAAAATTTTTGTTCACTTGACCTTAGAACTAACTCTTCCATTTATACAAATCAAGAATTTATGAGGCTTCCATGCATTTCATCTAGTCCTCTTGTTGGCCCATGGCAAGCACTTGCAAGAGATCAGCTAGTGATAGAAGCAAAAAGTTAACATTACGCTCAAACCAGCTAAGCCACAAATTGGTCAGGATCAGAAGTGTTAAATCATCTTTTTTTATTCCAACAGTTTGTTCAGTTTTAGTCTGGAGAACTTGTAATGAAAATGTAGCACTCCTGCACTGAGTCAACACTAAATGAGGCCCAATTCAGTCTTAGAGGTTTGTCTCTTCTTTCTCCAATTCATAAAATAAAAAGCAGTTTGGCAAGAGTAGCCCTGGAAAGTGGAGAGAACTGTGCCAGGCTCAGTGAGAGTAGCAGTTGTTTTAAATTTTTTTTTTTTTTTTTTTTAAGATTTGTGAGA